TTTTTCTTGGGCTCTCTAAAGCCAGGCTTCCTTTCTTAGATCATGTAACACAAGAGTACTAGGCTAAGACAGAAAAACACAAGACCCAAGGGAAGAGGCAGAACAGAATTTTTTCATCCCTTCATGCAGCAGTAATAAATATGGCCTGTGTACTCATTAGCACCAAGCTGCATACAGTTTTGAGGAGCTTGTGCTTGATAAATAATGCAACAGAGGAGTGCCTGTTTGATCCTTGAAACAGTAGAAACCTGGGGACCATTTTTCTTCAAAGCAAAGCAGTGCAGGTAAGCAGAGGCTTCCTGGCAGAGTCACAAAGAACATCAAGTCCTTGAAACCGAGTCATTACATTATAACAATGTTACAGTGTTTGATAATCATTAGACTGCGATTCAAAAATACAGATTCTGGCTTTAAAACAATGTTCATTTACTACTCAAACTTTAAGGGTAAGATTGTAATTGTTGCCTTCTTTTACCAAACTTTTAACAGCTGGACGCAGGCTTTCCTTTTCCCAACACCATCCTTTTTAACATTCAGACAATGTTCCGCTCATTGAAATGAAGAACAAAACCCTGCCACTGCTAAATGAAAACACTCACACTGCAAGCAAGCCTCTGGAGAAAAGTCTGAAGAATTTTTAATATTTTCCACCAAAAAAAGGAGAAACTGGAAGCCTCTACATCTTATCCCCTGACAGGAACCTATATGTCACTGTTCATAATTTGGCTGTAATTAGCTGTTTTGAAGCCATTTCTCTCCTTGTCTAGAAGAACCGGCATCTTACATTGCAGTGTACACCTGCAGCTTTCAGAAAGCCAACTTTTGAACTTTAGAACTTTATTTCCATAAGCCACCAGAATTTAATTTAACACAAATTATAAAAATATAATTAATTACTGTCACAAACTGGGGAGAAGCTTTCTTCAACTCCTGATTCACTGAATATTGTACAAATGTAACTGGGGATTATAGAAAAAAGCTAACAAAAAAAAGCTGTCAAGGACCATCAAATGTACTGCAATGCATATTGTACTAGTAACCGTTTTGTATTCTGTAAGAAGACATGCAATACAAAGAAACCTGTCATTACACTGGGAGATACATTTAATAATGATATTTGAGACATGCAGACTGACAGAGACCCTGCATGAGCTCATCCATCTGTCCTCTAGATCCCGTTCCTGAAACATTACTAGAAATGTAATGTTTCAGGATGTATTTCACCCAGTCTTCTTACCTGCACCTTTAATGCAGAGGCACCTTTAGAGCAATCACTGTCATTTATACCTACCTAAACATGCATAATTCAGTGCTTCACTCTCTGAACTCAAGAAAACATTACCTGATATACCGCGAGGCAGCGGTATAAAACACCTACATAGCAGGCATCGGTGCTGCCGTCGGCCTGTGCAGGTTCTGCAGTTGTCTCTTTTGAAACAACACAAAAGTGTATTCAGTTGAGGCAGAGCAGGAGGATATGACAGATGGATGTGATTTAGGACAATATTCATCTCTTTCTTGAAGTTGTTCCCTCCTGCTGCAAAGTGTCTCGGGAGTCCCAGAGGGCAACAAGCGTCAATACGACTAGTCAGCGATGGGAGGATTGTGTTCTTGGCAGGGTGCTGCTATTTATAATCACTCAACACAGGGAAAGTGTCCAATACTGTTAGGAGCTCCTTATCTCTGGGCTCTGTCAATATTCCTCTGTGTAGGTGGGCAGTGATGCTATCACAGCGCACCCAACAGCAGCTTCACACAAGGCATGCCACACATACATGCATACACCAACCTGAATTCAAACTGACACTGTTTTTTTTTTTCCCATACAAACCATTTCTCTGGTTTCTGCTAAATCCAACATACAGATTTGCATGTGTGTGTCTGTGTGTGCTGAACCAGTGAATTATTCAATAAATTATTCAGCTGTTTAAAATTTCCTCAATAAATTCACCACTGAGTTTGATAGAAGGAATCAACATTTGACTAAAAAATTCCATCAGACTCTTTCTTCTCTGTAGTACACAGTTGCTGCAAGGGCTACTCATTATTTTTCTTCACATGCAGTTGTAATCCCCAAACTTGTTTTTGATTGTTAGACATGTGCACACACACAAGCACCTGTTCTGGATAAATGGAAATAAAGCAATTTTAAGTGATTTTTGGAAACATTTTTTTACATATCTTTCAGCATTTTCCCCTTTTATCCCAATTTGTTCTAGGCCAGTTCCCCTGACACTGCAGTCCTTTTCACTGCTAAGTCCATTGTTAGCCAATGTGGACTGTAGACACACATGGAGTCAGCGCCTGTTTCTTTTCACCTGTCAGTGAGGACAATACTGTGCTTGGAAGTCCATCTTCTCGCTCGCAGGTGAGTCTCTAGTGTAGTGTCAAGGACAAGATCCCTCACTGGCTTCCCGCTTATGAATATTGTCTATATTGGGCACTGCAGTCTGGGATTGAAGCTGGGTCCCTTTAGCAATAGGTGAGTGTTTTTACCCAACACCACACTGATAGGGGGTATCAGTGTGGTGTTGGGTGAAAACACTCATTATGACTATACTGTCTTTTTTTTTTTTAGAGTACAGACATACAGCTCACACAGCCCTGTTAGGTCTTATAGCTACTGAACCCTCTTGCAGCTACTCTCTGTCTGTCTTTTGACTGAGCACAGCACCTATATAATACGCTTATAATTGTTCAGGCAAGAACAGTCAGCTGAACCATTTAATCTTTCAGCTGAGCAGTATCTGCCTGCTAAATCAACTGTGACTTGTCTTCAGAGACAATTAGTTGAACTATTACGTGGGCCACAACAAGGAAACACAGACAATTTTGTCATCTTATTTGTCCAGAGAGGCCCCACCTGAACTCTCACTGTTATATACAGAGTGGGAGCTGCCCAGTATAGCCACAGTCATACTGGTTGTCAATGGAGTAATTTGGTGGTATAGGAAAGGGACTTGGAACCGACCTGTTACAATTTAGTAATGCCAGTGTGTATTCCGACTGTGCTCTCTCTCATCCTAGTTTTAACTACTTATACTGTTATGTAATGGAAAATACATCCTTTAATAAGGCACATATGTAAGTAGAGAGAGCAATGCCAAAATATTCCAAGAAACTGCTGTCTAGAACCTAAATATGTCTTGACAATTAGTTAAACTATGATATTTACTTCAACATAAAGCCTCATTGGCCTTCTATGATTGATCTCAAATCAATTCAATTCAGAAATCAAGACCAAAATCTACTATTAGTCCAATTCAAGCTACTACAATGTAAGCACAAACATGAATCAAGGGGCAGCCATGGTATGATAACAATATGACACACAAATAGGAATGATACACATAAACCATGCATGCATACTCAAAATTTGCACAACCTACATGTAAGACAAATAGCATTAGGTCTGGCATGGTTACCATAAAACTGACCTACATGAAGCTGCCAGTGTCTAAACACCCAGTTATTCTTATAATGGTTATTCAAGACTATGTATTTATACACCCCTGATGCTAAACGCACAATAAGCTTTGAATATTATTCCGTCATTCAAATGTGGCTGGAAATAAACATGCCATTATGTCACAGAGCAAGAAAAAGGTCTTTTATATTCTGTAATTCAAATAGTATCACACGCAACTCAAAATGCAGTTCAGCTGAAACTGGCTTTATACTAACATAACATTGGAATTTGTACATGTGTTTATGTTGTTATGTTTTATTTTGTTTGGTCTTAACAGCCCCCACCCTCAACACTGCGGCCCTGATGTGATTACAGATCTTTAAACAGAATTATGCATGATCCATTTTTAATAAAGTCATAGTACTGATTTTCTGTTTCCACTGAAACGTCCTTATTGCCAACCTGACACTTTTCTATCCAATGAGGGCCAAAACAGTTAGTAAGACTGGTTATACTGACACACACTCAACCAAATCCCCAGTCTGCACTGACAATACACACACACACAAACATACACACAGAATCCTGCCATGATTCTTTAATAGCACAAACAAAATATTCAGATTTTAATAATATACACACCACACAGATGGTGTGCATAGAGGAACCATGTACTGAACACAAAAGACATCTCACTCAAATTTCCTTACAAAGTATTTTATGAGTGCAGAGCTGCTCACCCAGCAGGCAAGTACTTCATAACTGCTGGCGTTGCCCCCAGCAAAGTCCGAACTGGCCCAGCTGTCACGCTGGGAAAACAGAATCAGGCGCACCTAAAGTCATTTCACAAGACCTGGCTGTTTTAAGGGATCCAGATCTGTAGCAGCCATCACTCCATAATACCCACTTATTTATTCAGCAAAATGCTAAATTCTTCAACCCAGCAGTTGCCTCTTGGTTTGCGGCGTTCAGAGTTGCTAATTGTGTTAAACAGTGGAGAGGACATGAATCGGAAGCTACATAAACAAGCCTCTAAGCATCAGACTGGAGGCTCAGCAGGCTCATCTCCCACCACACTGCTAAACCTCTCCATCCTGAGGGCTGGTGTGGTGGCCTGGGGTTGCACTGGGGAGGGAGAGCTATTACCTCTCCTTCGGATAGAAAAGATGTAAACAAAAATATATAAACAAAAAATGACCCAAGAGAAAGCTGCAGTATTTACCCCTTTGAAATATTGTTTCAGCAGCCCAGGAGGATTTATTTAAGGCTGCTCTGGACCCAGTTACAAACAAAGTCAAAAGTATTGTGAATGTCCACAACTAAAATTTTCTTTTTGTGTCAGATGGAACCTACTAATGCTTATCCATACGTACCTTAAACTGTATAGGAAGAGGCATAATGATAGTGTCAAAAGCTACTTTAAAGCAGCGGATTTGCTATTGAAGTTTTTTTCCTTTACCTCTTTTTTTTTGGCAATACATTACCTAAAGTTAGCATTTTTTCCATCTTAATCACTTTGGCAGTCTGAACTCTGAAATCTCTTTAGCTCACAGTGGTTTGATGACAAAGGCCAATCCTGGTGAAGTCTTACCCTGTAGTAGTCACTGCTGTAGATATCCCTGGACATGCCGAAATCTCCAATCTTGACCAGCAGGCCATTGCCCACCAGGCAATTACGGGTTGCCAGATCTCTGTGGACAAAGTGCTGGGAGGCCAGGTAGACCATGCCCGAGGCAATCTGGGTGGCGATGTGCAGCATCTGGGAAAGGCCTAGCTCTCCGTTGGACTGCAGCGGCTGGCCGTCCACCAGGATCATGGCGTCTGGGCCGTGGGCTCTGGGTTACAGAAAATAATGTTGATTAATTTGATGAACTAATGTTGATGATGAAGTTCTCTAGTCTCTGTTTTTAAGTCAGACTATGTAACTCTTGCTGAACAGTTGCCACTGTGGCCAGATGTGGTAATTACAGAATAGGCTCATTTGTGACATGATAAAACATAGAATAACAGACACAAGTCAAGTAATGAGGAATCATTCAGAAGAAGTCAGTTAATTGACTAATTGAGTAATGTCAGTTATGAAGCAACATCTATCAAACTTTATAAGCCTTTGGTCATACCAGAACAAGTAAGGATGTAGCAGAAAAATCACACAGTGTACTGAATTAATAAAAGGTGAGTTTCATTGCTTATGACTTAAACTTTTCATTTGTAAGAGGATATTTCTTCTTTTAAAAGTTACATAATATAATTTAAATTGCTGGATGTAGAAACCTTTAATGCCTTTTCAGTATAGCAGACAATAACCTGAATGCCCCTTTAGTAAGTAACCCAAAGCTCCTTATGGTGCTAATAAACCCTTATTCTGGCACTACTGGTGCCTTTTTCTACCTATTGCGAAAAATCACCATAATAAAGAGAGACTGTCAAAATGAAAAAGGAAATATTAAAAAATGAATTATAACCAGCAGACTGTTTTAATTACAATGATAAACAGTTAAGTGTCTGCACTGTTTTTATTAACTGTGTAACTGTTATGTGACGCTTTTTGCAACATTTTCATCTACTCCAGCCTGTCTGGAATCGAAGTTGTACATTTAACAAGTTCTCTCAGGCTGTCTTTTTTTCGCCATCGCTCTTTTAGTGCAATTCAGTGTTCTTTGCTTTATAAGTTTGTGTGTAGTAATTCAGCTCCACTGTAGAGGGATTAGTAGAACTCTTCCTCAGTGTGTGTCTTTTTGTCTTTACCCCTTTTTTACTTCACAGACATCTAGCAGTGGCTGAATGAGTGCAGGCCTCCCTCCGACTATCTGAAGGTTGAACTGGACCCGCACATCAGATACTCAATTCATTCATAAGGATTCTCTACACATCTCATTTGTTAAATGTGACCAACAGGACCAATAGACCAAAAATCAGCCACGTCTTGCACCTTGCATGAAAGAATTTCATCATTCGCGACATTGCCTTTCATTTCAGGAATGATTTCCCAACAGAAAGTCTTCACGCACTCTTGAATCCACACACACACACACACTCCATCGTAACATGTCATCTTTTCAACTATTGCTCAAACTTCAAAAACAAGATAGACCACACACACACACTGCTGCTGTCAACGCACTTGAAACAACACACTTCTATCCCAGACTCCTCTTGTGCACACTGACATCAACCCCAGTGAAGCTTTCCATTACCAAAGCGCTCGCTGTACCGGCATCATGTCGCTTTTGTTGAGGCTTATCAGAGGTCACTTCCCTCGGTACAGTCTGACATTACGGAACAAAAGCACTAAAGCGCTCGTGTTTGCTAACCCAGAAAGCTGTGAAGTTGGCTGAATATTGTATCGAAAGCAGGAATTTGACAAAAGAATTTTAGAGTTCTTGTACTTACTTACTTAAATTGTTACGTTGACATACTGCAGAGAAGTCCCACCACTACCTTAAATGAAAATGCTCCTGGTATAGGTGGCACCCATACACACATTTGCGCTATAATTAGGCTTTCACACACTTTAGTTTGCTACTGTATGTCCATATAATGAATTTGCTCAGCCAGCACTAGCCTGGTACATTAAGGTTTAATCGACTTAACTGTCACTGAAGAACTGACCTGAGGAATTTGTTGAGGTCTCCATGCTTCATGTATTCAAACACCATGATGAGAGGGTCTCCGTCTACACACACTCCATAGAATTTAACAATGTGGTCGTGCTGCAGATTGGTCAGCAGCTCTGCCTCCCTCTGGAAGTCCTTTCGTGCCGACAGGTTGGGATCTTTCAGTGTCTGCAAGGGGAAATGAAAAGTCATATTACGCATTCAGAGAGGATGAACATTAGAATGGATGGTTGGGACAGTCATAATAAGCTGACAAGGCCTGCCCCAGTACCAAGCCTCAGGAAATGCAGCCTCCCTTTTTGTCCTGACTTCTGAATCAACCACTGTATCCTTTGCAGCCATTAGTATCTTACAGTCCACTGTGCCTGTCATTTGTCTCATGGTAAATTCCAGTGGCTGTTCGTGTGAGCCAGGCATACATTCCATTCCAGTGTCTGTTCTTACTAGCAAAGGGAAAGAGATACATGGAAGTAGTATTATTCTAATAACAGTGGTACATTCATTTAGTTAGTTAAAGAAAAACAAGTTTACCACGTTGGCGACAATATGAGGGAAACTTCCTGGACATGGAAATCTTTGTCTTTACAAGTTGACTACTTGAAGGCATCATAACTTCTGGTCTCTGTGAGGTTAAAGACCCAAGCTTAGTCTCCTATAGAGGGGGCACATAATAGACCCGGTTCAACTCTGGTCCTTCCAGAAACACATTGTTGGGCTGCATCCTTCAGAGTGCCTGGCCCCTAAATTGTGCTGCATTCTTTCACATCAGCTCCTTTTACCAGCACTTTTTATGCTAAGTTACACCCTGTGCTCTTCTTCCTCTCTTCCATTATAATCCAATTAGTTAACTGCTCTTTGCTTTGAATCATCCGCTCAGTACGGCCAATTTGTCCTTCAATATGCAGCCATGCTGGTGGTGCAGCTGAAGGAATAACATTGTCATTCGGTCAGTCCATCACTTTGGTTCAGACTGAAATATCTGGACAACTATTGGGTGTATTGCCATAGAGACATTCATGGTCCTTAGACTCCTACTGTATTGACTTTTCCTCTAGCACCACCCTGAGGTTGGCAGTTTAGTTTTTTAATATAATGACTCGACAACTGCTGGATGGATTACTATGAAATTTGTTACAGCTATTCAAGATTCTCAGTAAGTCCTAATAATTTTGGTGATCCCCGACTCCTCGAAACAGCAGGTCATCATTTCTACAATCAAAGACCAAATACCTGCAAAACTAA